TGGAGTTTTATCAGTTGTAAAGAAGAATGAAATTATGTCATTTGTTGGTAAGTGGATGGAAGTGGGGAAAATTGTGCCAAGTGAAATAAGGCAGACCCAGGAAGTCACAAGTTGAATATTTTATCTCATATGTGGAAGCTAGAGAGAAAGAAGGAATAAAAGGGGAATCTCATGAAAATAGAAAGGGGAAGAGTATAGTAAAGGAAGGGGACCCATGGGGAAAGGAGGAGGGACGAGAAAGGGAAGRAAATGTAGAATTGACCAAATTATACTATGTACATATATGAATATATCACAGTAAATAAATCTTTTAATATAATACATCAATTAAAAAAGCAATAAATAGAAGAATATAGGAAGGGAATTGGGGAAAGGATGATGAGAAGAAAAGGAGAATACTAGGGATTAAAATGGAGCAAATTATGTTGAATGCATTTATGAATAGGTCAAAATAAAACCCATTATTATGTATGACTGAAATATACTAATAAAAACAAAATAATTGATTCATTTAAAAACAACCACAATAAACTCATTATATAATATTTAACATTTTTATTAAAATAATCATTTTCCCAGATAAAAATATTTAGTAAGAAGAGTGCATACTTTATTTAACTTTTGCAAATCTCTTTAATAACTGGCTTAATGGAAGACAACTAAATTCTTTTTTCTGCTTCTGATCTCTGTTATGTCATACACAGAAGACAAATTATACATATACATTGTGTATTTGCACATGGTATTCTTGTTGATATGTGTGAAGAAAAAAATATCTGCACTTAAATATATATGTAATTAGTAAAGGGAGGAGAGCTTTAATTAGCCTTTTCAGATTATTATTTATGGCAGAGGAAAATTCAATTGTGTGTTCAATATTTGGAGAAAGTAAAATGTGATTAAAACAAGACTAATAGTTACTAATAAGGAACAAATAGTTTTGAATATAATGACTTTGGAAATAAAGCCATATAGCCATATAGAAATGGAAATTATATTAAAACTTATAATTAGTAGTTTTTAAAAGTTTAGTTTCAATATGGAATCTGAATCACACTTGTCACCTTTTGTACTCTGTTAAAGTCCATTGGTCTTTTTTGCACTTTGAATGGTTTTTTATTCACATCTGAAGTTGTAACAAGCATTGATCATTTGGAACATACTGATTCAGTGAATTATGCAGATCTTATAAATGTTTTACATTTAAAAATATAATATTAAAAAATTGTTAGCATCATCATTGATTTTATCAGAAAATTCTTTAAMTATTGGAAAGCTGTTGAGGTCATGATGGTAAACCAGTATTTTCCAAACTTTTGATTTTTTTCTCAGTAAGGCAAGTTTTGTCATTTGCAACAAGCCTGTTGTTTACTTGACATGTTAGACTTGCTTTGATTATTTTCACAAAAATGCCTGACATAAATATCTGTCTGAATAGTCATTGGTTGTCCACTGCTTTTTGAAGTAAAAATGATGTTTCTGTGAAAAAAGTGGCTAGTTCAAATTCCAGTATAATCGTACAAACATTCTCTCCTAAGATATCCATCATTAATGTGCACCTGAAGTGTTTTAAGAGAATATTTAGATGTATACTAATCGTTGGAACTGTCATTTTATTTTTTTTTAGCTACAAGTGCATGGTGGTGAAGAGTACAGTGATCATTAAGGAGTACAGTTTGGTGTCATTATCTTGATTTGTGCTGAAGTGTCAGCTTTTCATCCACCATTGCCTTTTTTACAATCACTACAAAGGTCAACTCAGTTCCAAAGTTAAGCAGTGCTGTAGAATTTTTGTGACAATAAATATTGACCTCGTAGGTTTTGTGAAAGGGTCTCAGGTACCCTTAGGTTTTTGTAAACCACACTATGAGAAACAATTTCTGAGCAATGTAGAACCTTGTCAGATGAGAAAGCCAGTATACTGTCAAATGATTATAATTGTATCAAAAGAACTTACGAGCCAATTTGAAGAGCTCCTATTGATCAAAGATGGGACTATTTGATCATTAGTAACTGTAGTGGACAAAATATGTCAAATATGTTTAAATCCATGAGTTCTTATCATTACACAAACCAGAATACTTTATTGGTCACTTATGGAGGATTTTAGGACATGAACTCATTCTTCTGATATTGATAAATTTAAAAATTTGGCATTTATTTTGCTTTCATTTGATGAACTATACTTGTGGCTAACCAAATGTGGGACTGAATATTTATGGAATTGTTCATAATTCTCCTTATGGAATTATCCCAGTTAACAAATGAAGAAGGGAAGGAATGGAATGGTAGAATTATTTCTATTTTTCAGCCTTTAATTAAGTGATGGATCTCAGTAGTGGTGATCAGTTGCTGCTTACATTAACATAAGCAGACACTATTTGCCTCCATGAAAGGCTATGATAGCATTTCTACATAGTTCTGGTTAGCAAATATAAAGACCTGGAAGTTGAGGAAAATTTTGCTGTATTCAGGTAACTGATGGAAGCCCACTGTGACTGCATCCTAGGGAGAGAGGGGAATATTGTAGGGAATAAAGTCTGAGAGGTAGATAGGGACCAGGTGTCACAGGGCCTATGGGTSTTGAAGTCTGTTGGGAAGCCATTGAAAGATTTTTATTTGGAAAGAAATTTGATTATATTTGTATTTGCATAAATCTACGTGTGAWAAAATGGCATAGAACTCCTGCCAATGTCAATTTTCTGATTCTGATACTGTCCTATAGYTATATAAAATGTGATCATCCGAGGAAACTGGGTAAAGGTTATATAGATCAATTCTAGTAGTTTTGCAACTTCCATGAATCCAATTACTTCAAAATAAAAAGTTAAAAATAATCACTGTTAAGAAATGGATTATTTGACATCAAGAAGGGAAGCTGACTAATTAGGGTGTTGTGAGAGATGACTATACATTAATAATTATATATATTTATATAGGGGGATGGAGAGAGGRAGAAGTGAGTGGATTTTAGATCTTTTAGAGATAGAGCTTATATTGAGTTGGWGTAAGGAAAAAGGGAGTCTAGGTATTTATTACTTATTTAGGTAGGAGGAATTGAACTCAGGAGCACTTAACCACTGAGCCACACTCCCAGCTCTTTTTTGTATTTTATTTAGAGACAGGGTCTTGCTGAATTGCTTAGAACCTCGCTAAATTGCTGAGCCTGGCTTTGAACTCATGATCCTCTTGCCTTAGCCTCCAGAGCAGTTGGAATTAGAGGTGTGCACCACCGCACCCTGCTAGATGTTTATTTTAAGCAACTGATGGTTGCATGTGCATTTAGAAAAGTTTAGAAGAGGAGAAGATTAGAAGAGGAAGGAGGAAAGAGTAGTTTTCCACCTAAATAGGAATGATTAGGTTGCATACACTCCGAGGTTGAGGCTGCAGTTGAATGCAGGAACCAATCAGCATATAGATGGTAATTATAGTTGTGGCCTTAGATGAAGTCACTGAGAGCAAAAGTGTAGAGAGGGTAAATGAAAATGAGCTGGGGGCAGTGCTGTAGGGGGAGACTTCAATGTCTAGAGATGCTTAGGAGATTGAAAAGAAATTGTGATAGGAAGAAAATCAGGTAGAGGCAGGAGTCATTTAAGTCCAGAGAATGAAGTGTTTGACAGAAAGTGGGATATCTAGTCGGGGTGGTGCTGAGATATTGAATAGGATGAGGATGGAAGAGACCACAGGAGTCTTTTAGGAAACCTGGGAGTGCAGAAGGAAAACTAGTAGTTTGTAATGTGAACAAAATGAGAGGAAATGGAGAGAGCAAATACAGACATCTATTTCAAGGAGTATCAGAAATGGAATAGCTAGCAGAAGCTCCTAGATCATATTTGTGTACTGATTGGTATGATCCARTTGTAAGGGAGAGATAAATAATAATAATTGAAGGAGCAAATACTTGGAGAATTTGTTTTGAGAATTTGAAGAAGGCCTGGGTTTAAGTGTACAAAGCCAAAGACCTTTATAAGACCAAATGTCCACCCCCCAGCTCTGACTTAATCTCTCACTGCTGTTCTTCTTTAAGTCTGCTTCAGCAACACAGGCCACCTCATTATTCATTGAATATGTCAGTCATGTTCCTAACTGGCTCTTAGTGTTTGTGATTTCTTCTTTGTCTTGGTATTGTCATGGCTGATGTTCTTACTTCTTTCAGCCTTTCTTTAAATATTACCTTCCAAGTAAGGTCTTCCTAGACTGCTGTGTTCAAAATTGGACCTCTCCCCCTGTGCCTTTTGTTCCCCTAAAACAAATTTTTCTCCAGAACACTTTCTAACACCTGACATACTATGTAACTTAAAAATTTATTTATGTAACTTGCCTCTTTTTAAAAATAGTCTTTTCATTTTACATGGACACAATATCTTTATTTTGATTTTTATGTGGTGCTGAGGATTGAACCCAGTGCCTCATGTGGGAGGCAAGCACTCTTCCACTGAGCCACAACCCCAGCCCTGTAACTTGTCTTTTATTATTAGAAAGTTCACTCTATAAGAGGCAGAAATTTTTATTATGTTGGCAACATTTAGAACTGGTCATTGTGTACAAATGTTTGCTTAATGAGTGGGAACAGGGAAGAAAGAATATAGGTAGAGAATTACATAGGTATAAGGATTTGGTGGTGAAAGATGAACATGTTTTTATTTGATTTTATAATAGTTATGAGACAGGATGAAAGTAAAGTGGGGTGGGTGGAGGGATTCTGAGTTTTGAGAAGAGCAGAGAAAATATAGTAATTTTGGCAAGTGGAAAGGTGAACTTTTATTGTGTGATAAGATTCTTGGTCAGATTGAATGCACATTTGTGATTTGTAGATTTCTGAAATAGAATGTTTCTCATTTAATTCAGAATTTTAACAATATTAAGATATGAGTAAGGAAATGTGACACGTAAATACTTAAAGTTTTTAGAACAGCTTTTTTAAAAAAAGAAACACCGATCTGTATAATGTTGAAATTRTAGTTGATGTAGATTATGGTTTAATGTAATATTCTTTTTAGCCTTACCAATAATTCTCGGATTGTGGGGCTCCTGGCTCAGCTGGAGAAAATCAATACTGAATCTACAGAATCAGATACTGCCAGATATGTTACATCAAAAATTCTTCATTTGGCTCAAAGTCAAGGTAAGACATAATTTTTTCTTTGTTTTAGAATGCCATTTTAATTCTTTGAAACTAGATGCTAAGAGTATTCAAATTTCTGATAAATGAATGATTTAAAAAATGAACTTTCTCGGATTGATTCAGAGTAGCAAACTGAAGAACTTTATAGGAAATTCATTTTYAACACATTGTTTCTAATAGTGATTACCATGGTACTTAGTTATGATTGTTGCTCTCTGCCCCCATTTTCAAATAAATAGCACCAACACTACTTGTAGAATATTGACCCTAGAAGATGTTAAGTAGCATAGGGTGTTGGTTATTTGTGTAGTCCCCATTTTCAACTTCAAGCTCTGCCATTCAGTGACTAAGATTCTTGAGGAAGTTGTTGAATCTCTAGGACTTTGTTTCACCAACTCTGAAATAGAGATAACAACTATCATGGGCTTGTCTTGAGACTTTTTTATGAGAAGCATCTAAAAAGAAATGTTCAGTAGGCATCACATTTATATTTATGAGGCAAATATTACTAAATTAATATAAAAATCTTGACAGAATACAAATGTTGATATTGTGCTTAGAAATAGGAAAAATTTCAAATAAAAACAGTAAATTAAGTGCATACATTTAAATAAGATTATCATTGTTAGGGAATATTATTTCAGTAATGTAAAATGACTTAATATTAGTGTTAGGAAATATCAACACAACATTATTTGAATCAGTCAAATAAAATCCATCTAATTGTTTATTTTATTTTATTTTAAAAATTTTAAAATTGATTTTTAAAAAATAAATGATATTGGAATGCATTACAATTCTTATTATACATGTACAGCATAATTTTTCATATCTCTGGTTGTATATAAAGTATGTTCACACCAATTAGTGTCTTCATACATGTATTTTGGATAATGATGTCCATCACATTCCACTATCCTTGCTAACCCCCTACCCTCTCCCTTCCCCTTCCATCCCTCTATCCTATCTAGGGTTTGTCTATTCCTCCCATTGCTCCCCCTCCCTACCCCGCTATGAATCAGCCTCCTTATATCAGAGAAAACATTTGTTTTTTTTGGATTGGCTAACTTCACTTAGCATTGTCTTCTCTAAAGCCATCCATTTACCTGCAAATGCCATGATTTTATTTTCTTTTATTGCTGAGTAATATTCTATTGTGTATGCCACATTTTTTTTTATCCATTCATCTACTGAAAGTGCATCTAGGTTGGTTCCATAGTTTAGCTATTGTGAATTGTGCTGTTATAAACATTGATGGCTATGTCTCTGTAGTATGCTGGTCTTTCAGTATAGACCAAGGAGAGGGATAGCTGGGTCCAATGGTGGTTTCATTCCAAGTTTTCCAAGGAATCTCCATACTGCTTTCCATATTGGCTGCACCAATTTGCAGTCCCACTAGAATGTATGAATATACCTATTCCCACACATTCTCACCAACACTTATTGTTGTTTGTCTTTATAATAGCTGCCATTCTGACTGGAGTGAGATGATATCTTAGAGTACTTTTGATTTGCATTTCTCTAATTGCTAGAGATGATAAACATTTTTTCATATATTTGTTGATTGATTATATATCCTACTCTGAGAAGTGTCTGTTCATTGGGTTATTTATTTATTTTTTGTGCTTAGCTTTTTGATTTCCTTATATACCCTAGAGATTAGTGCTCTATCTGATGTGTGAGGGATAAAAATTTGCTCCCAAGATGTAGGCTCTCTATTCACCTCAAAGATTGTTTCTTTTGCTGAGAAGAAACTTTTTAGTTTGAGTGCAGCCCATTTATTGATTCTTGGTTTTAATTCTTGTGCTATAGGAATCTTATCATTGTTAAGTTAAATATACCAGTCTATGAATTAAGAGTGGTATTGAAATCTCCATCTATTATTGTTGAACTGTGTAATTATCTTTTTTGTTCTGATGGTTTTTATTTATTCATTTGAAGGCTGTGCTGTGAGGTATATATACACACTTATGGTTGTTTATCTTCCTGATGCTTTGCCTTTTTTATAATATGAAACATCCCTTTTTGTTTTAAGTAATATTTAGTCTGTTTTGTCTGATAGTATAGCCACTCCTGCAGTCTTAAGGTTAATCTTTTTATATTGTATTTTTATCCATTTCTTTTACTTTGAAATTGTGTTTTTTAATCTTTTTTTTTTTTTTTTTTTTGGGTGGTACTGAGGGGGGATTGAACCCAGGGCCTTGTGCATGCTATGCAAGCACTCTACCAACTAAGCTATAACCCTGAATCAGTTTTTTTTTTCAATATTTATTTTTTAGTTGTAGTTGGATACAATATCTTTATTTATTTTTATGTGGTATTGAGGGTCGAACCCAGGGCCTCACCCATGCTAGGTGAGTGCTCTACCACTGAGCTACAACCTCACCCCTGAATCTGTGTTTCTTGAAGATAACATATTGTATCTTGCTTTTTTCTTTTTTTAGTCTAGTCTGTTTAGTGCTYCCAATTTAATGTACTTTTTGATAAGATAGAATTTACATCTGACTTTTAAAATTTGTTTTCTAAATGTTTCATGTCTTTTACATCTGTCTTATCTTTTATGGCCTTCTTTTTTGTGTGTGTGCTTTGTCAACTTTTGGCAATTTTAGTTTTCAGTGTTTCCTGTAGGGATTAAAATATAGGCATCTTTTAACATTGTAGTTTAGTGTATTTAATTCTAGGAAATTTACAACTTTCTTCCAATAAAACTCCATTTTTTTCTCATTTCTTTTTGCTATTATTGTTGTATGTGTTATATCTATACATGTTAGAAATCCARCAATACCATTGCTTACACAATCTTATGCTAAAAAGTTAGGGRAAAAAATTCTTCTGGCACTGTTTTTACTCTTATGTTGAAGTACAGAATTCAGTTTATAGGATTCATTTCTGCATGGGGGTTTGTGTGGGGCATGGGACACATGGAATCTAAGCTAGGTATGGAGCAGACTGATAATTGTGATTTCTGGATATATAAGTTGATGAACTTGAAGTTTGAATGAAGGTGACAGGGATTATATAATTGTTACAAAGAAAAGAGAAATTTGGCATGTTAGGAGGTTATAATTTGAAAGTGAGAGGTAACACATCAGTGGTGGAACATTTTGAGATCCTGAGAATGGCCATTGAGAGGTTTGGTAAATTGGAGCACAGGGATGGATTTTGTTGTTAAGAAACTATAGAATTAGGATTTGAATGTATAATCCTTGTTAACATTGACATCTTCCAAGATCATAGTGGAGGAGTAAAGTAGAAAATTCTTAGAGTGAGACCTAGTTTTCATTTAGTGTGAAGCATAAGCAACAGTAATAACATAAGCAATATTAATACCAGAGTTAGAGGCTTTATTGTGTTATTTTTAAAGGAAGTGAGCACTACACAGGGAAGGTGAACATGTAATGGCTTGTTTTTCATGGGGTCTCTATCCTCTGAATATTCTACATGATATTAGTATTTTAAAATAATTTAGCTTTATTAAATCAGTAGTCTTAATTTAAAATATTACTTACATCAAGGATACATTGGCTCTTTGAAACTATTTCTTTTGGAAGTTAAACTTTTTTGTTAGAGGCAGCTGGAATGAGGAACGGGTGAAGGATAGATTAAGTTGACAGGATAGTGTAGTTTTTTTTAAAAGGAGAAATTTAGTTAACATTAATGAGCTTTACTTCTTTTTATAGGTGAGAAAATTTGTCAGTCTTTTACACATCAGCAATATGGCAGTAGAGAGCAAAAATGAAAAGTGTTTTTAGATCTTATCACTTATGAGAATTTCTAATTTGAAAGATGAAAGGTTTCTATGAGTTCAACAAAGTTCACTTCCTGGACCTGAGATGATACATAAATATGACATTGAATTTCCAGCACATTTATTTTATGGGTAGTTATTAGTAGGTACAATAAGTAACAGTTTACCATAACCTCTAGATAGTATGTTTCTCCCTCTTTTTAATAACTCCTAATTTAGAGTAATATAATTTTCAAATAGATGTCTGACTTAAGAAATTGAACAAGATTTGCTCTTGGCAAAAGTATGATGTCTAAGACTTATTAGTTTGAATTTGTCTCCCGCAACTATGTTGTTATTTCCTCTTATCTGAGCCTTGGTTCTAATTTTTCTGCTTTTAAACTCCCTAGACTACCGCCATGTGGAACATTGAATTTAGTCCTTTGAAGTTTATTGTGGAATATGTACTATTGAGAGTGGATTGCTTGTTTTCTATTTAAAAAAATATGTGTGTGTGTGTGTGTGTGTGTGTGTGTGTGTGTGTGTATTTGTATTTGGAGACAGTATCTTTATTTCATCCATTTTGTAAGATGTTGAGAATCAAACCCAGCGCCTCGCACATGCTAGGAAATCACTCTACTTCTGAGCCCCAGCCTCAGCCCCAGCCCCAAGTTTGTGTTCTATTTTTAAAATCTCAAAATATGAAGTGAATGGCAGTGGCCCATGTATAAAAGAATTTCTGGCATTAGTATTCAGGTGTTAAAAATATTGGGGACTTGTTAAAAGAATGATTCCTGTGACTCTTTGAGAAGCACATTAAATTGTGTTCAGAAACATCTGAGTCACTTGGTCTATTAACTAATTTGTTCATTTATTTTGTACATAATTGTTCTCTGTTCTCAAAGGAGAAATTTTTGGTCCATGAAAAGAGTAATTTGTCACCCCCAGGGAGTTAAAAATGAGGCATRTAAGTGATAATGTGGGTAAAATACATGGAATAGTAAATGTTAGTTCCTTTCTTAAATGTTGGCCTGTGATTTACTGTCCTTCTCTTGTTAATCAAAGGAGAATTGAAAAGATCTAGGAACTTGTAAATAATAGAAATATTTACACATTTYCCCCGCATCCCAGAGAAAGAAAAGATGATTTGGGTGATTTCATCTCCAGATTCTTACAGGAGTTGTTCTTCCTTAATTTTGGTTATTTTTGTGTGATTCAAAATTTGAAACAGTATTAATACAATAAAAACATTTCAAAATGGTACTAGGTCTCTGAATTTCACTCATTTTGATTAATTATCTTCTAACTATCTTTTAATTCTATCCGTAAAGAAAGAAATGTACCATTACAACTATATGTTACCCCAGTTTGGCATCTGTATTATGTTTCTGGCTTTTAAATTTTTCATGGATTGATAAGGACACTCTTAGAAAGATCATGGTAGTAACTGAAAAGAAATGAAGGGAAGGTCTTTTTTAACTGAAATCTTGAAGTCTCCACTGAGCAGAATTAGCAACTTCAGAGAGAATAACATGTAGGAGCCAGTATAGAATGTTTACTGAACCAATGGAGGATTATTGATTCTATACTAGCTATATTAATAAAACTTTATGTACTTAATCACCCATTCATATTAAAAACTTATTTTCTACTTTTTAGAAAAAACAAGGAGAGAAATGACAGCCAAAGGTTCTACAGGAATGGAAGTTCTGCTGTCAACATTAGAGGTAAATCACTAACAGCCTTTAATTGTACAATTACTTCTAAGAAACAATACTGAATGTAAAAGGCTACACACACACACACACACACACACAGATACACAAATACTAATCATAAATGTTTTTCTGTCTTAAGAGAGCTGGGGGATGTGGTGCAGTGATAGAGCACTTGTCTAGAATGCTTTCACGCCTCACCAAATGAAACATTAGCTGGAAATGAAACTTTAGTTTAAAATAAATGATAAACATTGGAAAGTCTAATTTATTCTATTATTCTATTATTCTATTGCTATACATTCATGATTTGTTTTACTCTTATTTATTGGTTGAGTAACTATGTTATATTTATCATACTTAAATTTCTATGCCAGCGTAAAATTTTTGGGTAAAATCAGAGAATGTATTCAGATCAGGATATTATATTTTATTCAGTACAGTGTTAAGCACAAGAAATAAGTTTATGTTCTTCCATAGGAAATCTTAACCATATAAGAATATTGATTTTCCTTAAATTGATCTGCTAGTTTAGAGCAGTCTCATACGATTTTGTCCAAATGGGTTGGGGTCAAGAATAAGTAGAAAGGCCATTCCTGGAAAGAAGAGAAATGAGAAAGGACTATTCCTACCAAATAAATRTAAAAAAATATTATAAAGTTTTAGTAACTAAAATAATTTAGAAATTCTATACGAGTACTAGGTAGGTAGCAGTGTAACAGAATAGAAAATCCAAAAATAAATTTAAAATGCTCATGGGAATTTAGTACTGTTTGATAAAGGTGGCATTTCAGATCACGGATGAATAGAGGGCTTGCTTAACAAACAGAGCCTGGGGCAAAYTGATAGCCATCTGGGAAAGCATGATGTTGGATTCTTACTTCCACAAAGCAAAGATGTAGGCATTGAAAATAAAATCATATACTGGAGGAAGGAATGAGAGAAATTAAAAAGTATTCTTATAACAAGGAAGTTTTCTAAGTATAAAAAGTGGGAGTCGTAAAAGAAAAGCTTGCTGCATTAATTTAACTACATTAACAAGTGTTGAAGAAAACTCTATAGATAGTTGGAAAATACAGAAAAACTCTTTGAACTCATGTAATTTCTTCAACATAAGGAACTATAAATCAGTAAGGGAAAAAAGTTCATAACCAGTAGAAAATCATGTGAAGGTTATGATTGGATAGTTCTCAGAAAAAGAAAGATAAATGTCAGTAGAGATTAAGCATCACTTTTAATAAAAGTAACCAGAGTACCATGTTTAAGCATTTTTATTTATTAGATTGGTTGTCTGGGCTTTACAAAATAGTACTCTCCTTCTATATTGCTGATGAGAGTGTRAATTATTCCAAGGAGAGCAATTTGGTAGTATCTTCGACTCAGAAATTCTAAAAATTTATTTTACATACAGAAATATATTTTCATCACGTATAAACATATTTGCTTAGTTATTTGCTATAAATTTTAAATAGTAAAATACTAAAAACACCTGAGTAATGCAAAAAAAAGAGTACATGTATAATGGCATAATTTGGCTTGAACATRCTTTATATGCAGAGTTCTGAAAAATTGTGCTGTAAATGGGTAATAATGAGTGTAATGCATTCCACTATTGTATGTAAAAAAAAAAAAATAAAAATAAAGGCCAGGAAAAAAAAATAAAATTACCTGAATATCCCATGGGTAGGTGACTGATTACATAAGAAATGGTATAACCATATAATGGAATTTATTGTTCAGCCTTTAAAAAGAATAATGAAGCTCTATTTATTGATATGAAAATTGCCAAGGTTCCAAATAATATCTGTAGGGCAATACCATTTGGAAAAATAAATATGTCTGCTCATGTGTGCATGCTTGAATCTCTTTTATGAGCATATTATTTTAGGGAGAACTCATAAGAAATTGATAATATTTATTTCTTGAGACAGGAGCTAGGTGACTGAGTAGTCATCATATATATATTATAGTGCCTTTTTAATTTTAGTTCATTTTTTTTTCTCCTTCTCTCCTTCTTTTTTCCTCTTTCCCTTATTCTCTTCCTTCTTTCCTTCACTGGGGCAGAACCCAGATCCTTTCAGTTTTGAGGCAAAAACTGTACCATTGAGCTATATCTTAGCAGTTCTTTTACTTTTATTATCTGGTAGATCTGTTTTGGTAGAAATATAGGAATTTAAATTACAAATTAATTCCTTTTGTAATAATGTCGATACTAAGAAAATGATAGCTATAAATATATTTGTAAAAGTTCTGAGAGGCAAAAAGAAAACTGAATAAGAGAATAGTGGAAACCTGAATACATTTGTTCCTAGACAAATTGAGAAGGCCATTTATAAAATATAGATAGTTTCCAAGAGGTATGAAAAGTTTGAGCTTCACATATTTACCATGTTTAATATTATTTTTAGATGTTGATGGACCTTATTTTATTCATCTATTTATATGCAGTGCTGAGAATCAAACCCAGTGCCTCACACATGCTAGGCAAGCGCTGTACCACTGAGCCACAACCCCAGCCCCTGTTTACCATTTTTAATAAAGCCAATCAACTATCTATTTCAGAACACTAAAGATCTTCAAACTACGCTAAATATCTTGAGCATTCTTGTTGAGCTGGTTTCAGCTGGTAAGTTTTTGTTTCTTTGGTCTTATTTCTGTTTGTAAATAGTGATCTGCCATGTATCATCTGTACTTTGAATTTTTTATACTCATATAGAAGGTATTCTAAGTATTGGGATTGGAAATTGAAATAYCATACTCCTTTGCTGTTTTGTTTGCATATATTCAAATATCCCTCAAATTACCCCTGCAACATAAGTTTAGAGTTTTAAACTTAGAATTTTGGTATTACTCGTGTTCACTCTTTGTGGGCTACTTTCTGATTAGATAAATGAGATAACACAAAATATGATTTTGATAGTATTTGCTTGATTTTAGGAATCAGCACTTTAATGTCTGCAATACTGACCAATTGTGATACATACTGGAGAAGATATGCTGTTAAAATATGCTGTTAAATTTTTTTTTTTTTTAAATTTAGGTGGAGGTCGAAGAGCAAGTTTCTTAGTCACCAAAGGTGGTTCACAAATATTGTTACAATTACTTACAAATGCCAGCAAAGATTCTCCCCCACATGAGGAGTTAATGGTGCAGATTCATTCTGTTCTTGCAAAGATTGGACCAAAAGGTAAGGGTTTCCCTTGTATGATTACTGAATCTAGAACCATCTTTGTATCATCAATTCTTTTTTTTTACATTTATTTTTTTAGTTATAGGTGGGCACAATATCTTTATTTTTATTTTTATTTTTATGTGGGGCTGAGGATCGAACCCAGTGCCCCATGCATGCACTCTCCCTCTGAGCCACAATCTCAGCCCCATATAATCAATTCTTTATACCTGAAGTTGCTTAGTTTTTTAAAAATCTGTTTTATTAGTGCATCATAGTTTTATGTAATTTTCAAGTTCATTTTGACATATTTATAAATGCATATAAAATAGTTTGCCCCACTTCAGTCTCCTGACCTCCCTACCCTGTGACCTCCCCTCCCTCTGCCATCCCCTTTCTCTTGATACTCATATAGAGGGTATTTTTGACTCTATTGGTTTTCTATTAATTTATTTTAATTGGTACATTATAGTTATACATAAAAATGGAAATTATTGTGATATATTCATATAGGCACATAGTATAATCAGGTCAATTTTAAACTGCGGTTTCTCCCCTTTTCCATTCCTCCTCCCTCCATCTTGATTCCTTCCTCTACAGAGAGGTAAACAATCACTGCTTTTCATTCATGTCATAATTTTATTGCATTGTTAGAATTCTCAGGGAACTTACAGAGACCAAAATAGACATGGAAAATTATGAGACCAATTATTACAATAGTAGGACATGTCAATTTAAAAAAATATAGATTTATAAAAATGGATGTAGACAAAGAAGAAAATCAATTTAGGTTAGGTTAACAGAGGAAGGTGTTGTTTGAATAAAGGCTAAATTTATMGTTGTATATCTGCACAAAGATTAAAATGACTCCCTTAACTCTTCAATTGTGATTTAAGAGTTTTGGCATTGCTTTTTGRCTTGCATATGGGTATTAAATTTCAAGTGTCTGGTTAAAAATGCTTGTCCCTGGGTTCAAAACCCAGTACCTGCCCCCCMAAAATTATGTGTATACATAGTTTATGTATTTATGTGTATTTCAAGTATATCTTTGTGTATTGTGCAAATGTTTAAATAGAACTTTAAGCATGTGTTGCTCTTAAAGAACTCAACTWTCAGGTGACTTTAATTCCTATGTATATTTGGGACATTAGGACTCAAATATATGTTAAGTTTGTTAACAAATATGTTATTGGTATCTTTTTTTTTTAACCTGATTTTGAGTTTTAAGGCCTCCCTTTTGGGATTTTTGTGAGAAGTAAAAATGGAAAATAAAATAAGAAAACCTTGTTTATTGATGAATATTGTTGTTTCATGCATCATTTCTAATTATAAACAATTTATCTTTCTTATACTTTTTGTGAAATTTAAGTTATGTTTTTTTTTAATATACTGGGGTTTGAATTCAGGGGTTCTCAACCACTGAGCCATATCCCCAGCCCTATTTTGTATTTTATTTAGAGACAGGGTCTCACTGAGTAGCTTAGTGCCTTGCTTTTGCTGAGGCTGGCTTTGAACTCATGATCCTCCTGTCTCAACCTCCAGAGCTGCTGGGATTACAGGCATGTGCCATTGCATCTGGCTAAGTTAATGTCCCATTCAAGTTGAAGGTCATCCTTATTTTCTCCTACATATTTTAAGTTTCCATTTTTCTTTATTTGTCTTAGTTTTCTAATTTTATGTTATTCAGAGATTTGTACAGTCATTTCTTGAGTGATTTTCATTTTTTTATTTCTTGTAAAACGAGAGTAATATTTCTTTAACAACATTTAATTCTTTTTGACTTAAAATTTCTGCTGCTCACAGCATATCTCTTTTTCTTGGACCTTCTTGCTTCTTTTGTTTAAATCTTAATATTATTAAATTCTTRTTTTAAAAATTTTTAAAATACTTTTTTAGTTGTTGATAGACCTTTATTTATTTATACATGGTGTTGAGAATTGAATCCAGTGCCTCACACACGCCAGGCGAGTGTATAGTTACCGCTGAGCCACAGCCCCAGTCCACGTGTTCTTTAAATTTTTAAAAATCTTTTTAATCTCTTGATGAAAATACTAATTAAGAACAGTGCTTTCCAAACACAAAGTAATGATAGGAGTTAGTAATGTTAACTATCCTGATTTGGTCAGTATATAGTATATACTCGTATTTAAATATCATACTATAACCCATAAATATGTACAATTATGTGCCAATCAAAAATTTTAAAAATGTTAAGAGATAGAAATTTTAACCACCATGGTTTGATCATTACATATTGATGCATGTATTGAATTATTAGTGTGCCTCATAAATTTGTACCACTAAAAATAATAATAAAAAAGAACTTTGTTTTTTATGTTGAGTTATATCCCTTAGACATTGATTTGATAGTATTAGTTACATAAGCTATTCATTTTTTCCCTAATTTATATTCTTTCATAAGTAGGAAAAGGATACTGCCCATATTAAATTAGTAATRTTGGAATGGACATTTAGATTCTCTATACTTCCTCTTAACTATGTGATGGTATTCTGATAAACTTGTTGAATTAGACCGACTTGCTTGTGTAGGTTGTGTTGACAACCTAAGTGTTGGGCTATTCCAGCCTCTGTCCTTTTGCCCTATCTTTTGCTTGCCCCTCACATTCTTTTAAGCATGCTTCAAAAGTATTTTAAAAATCATAGAGTATTTAAAAAATCATACAAGAAATGATTATAACTTTATAGGTCAACTTCATATTTGGTGATATGAATTCATAATTTAAATTAAAAATGTCATTGCATTATGACTTCATTTTATTCAAAAGTAAATGTGAATAACTTTTTTTTAAACAGATAAAAAATTTGGAGTGAAAGCTAGAATTAATGGGGCTCTGAATATAACTCTGAGTTTGGTCAAACAGAATTTGCAGAATCATCGCTTGGTTCTACCTTGTCTTCAGCTTTTACGAGTGTATTCTGCCAATTGTGAGTATTTCAGAGTGACTTTTAGTTAACTCAGGTGTTGTGACGTTAAACAAAATGAAAATCTTTTTATTTTTATTTTTATTATTGGTTGTTCAAAACATTACATAGCTCTTGACATATCATATTTCATACATTTGATTCAAGTGGGTTATGAACTCCCATTTTTACCCCGTATACAGATTACAGATGTCTCAAATTCATGGGAAAGAGAAGATTTAATATCTTCTCTTGTTTTAGCTCTTTTAAGTTTAATTCAACASAAGTTTTTTGGGTTAAGAAGGCAAGTTGACAAATCTTGAGAATTCTCACTTACCTCCTTAAATTGTAAAGGACTAGAGGGTGATGAATAGGTTGCTGTGGGAAAAGTTGTGGAAAAATATGAGGGTATTGCAGCTTGAAAAACCGTATACCTCTTGGGATTTTCACAGATGAGAAGAAAGCTGAAAGGAAAGGTGGGGTACTTATCTTTAGTAGTAGGGAAGTGGCAGAACTGAAAAACCACAGTACTGGGGCCTCTGAAAAATATATTGAGGAGAGAGATCGACTCAGATAAAATGTTTTGCTAAGCACACATGCTCACTTAGGTATACGTGCATTTCCTTTTTATTCTCTGACTGTGAAATTGGAGTGTTTAGTGAAAGAACCTAAAATTTGAATTGTAGGGTATGTATTATTGCAGAATATCTTTGCAAAATAATGAGGAAATGTGAGTGTGTGTGTGTGTGTGTGTGTGTGTGTACACGTGTACATAAACTCATATAAACATAAGTGTGAATATGTGTATATATCTATGCTTTGACAATATGGTGTGCTTAAAGGAAAATAGCTTTGAACACTTAAGTAATGAACACCTGTGTAATTAAAAAGAACATAAGGAGGTGAATGAATTAGTTATCTAACTAGAGAAGAGCAAAGAAATAATATTGAGAGTAGAGGAATGAGATAGTAAAAAAAAATAAAAGACATACATTAGAAAATAGAAAAATATTGATTTAAAAATGAAAATTGAATTAGATTAAAAACAAAATGGCTGCAGACCTGCGACCGACCGGTGAAACAGGCCCAGCGGCCTGCCGGCGTGGTAGACACATCACACCAATTGGAGTAGGGGCAGAGCAGAGCCGCTGCCTACGCCCGGAACAGGCCCAGCGACCCACGGGCGTGGTAGTCACGTCACCC